CAGTGACACCTCACCTGGGTAGGTGACTCCTGCCTGACTCCTGCCTGAATCCTTCCCGGATCCTGCCTGATTCCTGCCTGAATCCTTCCCGGATCCTGCCTGACTCCTGCCTGACTCCTGCCTGAATCCTTCCCGGATCCTGCCTGATTCCTGCCTGACTCCTGCCTGAATCCTTCCCGGATCCTTCCCGGATCCTGCCTGACTCCTGCCTGACTCCTGCCTGACTCCTGCCTGGATCCTTCCCAGGTCCTTCCCGGGTCCTTCCCGGATCCTGCCTGAATCCTTCCCGGATCCTGCCTGACTCCTGCCTGGATCCTTCCCAGGTCCTTCCCGGGTCCTTCCCGGACCCTGCCTGACTCCTGCCTGACTCCGCAGCTGCCGACTCCCAGCATGAGGTGGTGCCAGACACTGGGGTCACTGGGGTCAGGGAGTGCACTGGGGTCACTGGGGGCATGGGGGGTTCTGAGAGCACTGGGATTACTGGGGACAGCGGGACACTGGGATTGCTGGGGACAAAGGGGACACTGGGATTACTGGGGACAGCAGGACACAGGGGTCACTGGGGACAGCGGGACACTGGGGTCACTGGAGACAGCGGGACACTGGGATTACTGGGTGCACTGGGAGTACAGGGGGTTCTGAGAGCACTGGGATTACTGGGGACAGTGGGACACTGGGATTACTGGGGACAGTGGGACACAGGGGTCAAAGGGGACACTCGGGTCACTGGGGACAAGGGGACACTGGGATTACTGGGGACAGCAGGACACTGGGATTACTGGGGACAAGGGACACTGGGATTACTGGGTGCACTGGGAGTACAGGGGATTCTGAGAGCACTGGGATTACTGGGGACAACAGGACACTGGGATCACTGGGGACAGCAGGACACTGGGATCACTGGGGACAATGGGACACAGGGATTACTGGGGACAAGGTGACACTGGGATTACTGGGGACAAGGGACACTGGGATTACTGGGTGCACTGGGAGTACAGGGGGTTCTGAGAGCACTGGGATTACTGGGGACAAGGGGACACTGGGATTACTGGGGACAATGGGACACTCGGGTCACTGGGGACAACTGGACACTGGGATTACTGGGGACAAGGGGACACTGGGATTACTGGGGACAAGGGGACACTGGGATTACTGGGGACAAGGGGACACTGGGATTACTGNAACCTGTCCGGGTGAGTCCTGGCCCCTTACCCTGTCCGG